TTCCTATGAAAGTGACAGGTCCATTGAACAGCAAAAACCTAAGTGTGAAAATAAAACTATGGATACTATTCCTTGCCCAAGACAGGGAGATTTATAAGGTCGTTCTTGCAGTCATACTCTTATCATAATCTGGCCTCCATAGTTCTTGTCCTGCTCAGACACAAGCAGCAAGTCCAACACATTTATATCAACAGTCTCTCCCCCAGGTCTTCTATTTAGTGCTGCCATAACAGAAATATCACAATTCGGTGGCTTTAACAAACGGAAATTTATTTTCTCACAGTTTGTTGTTGTTAGGTGCTGTCCAGTCTGTTCCGACTCATAGCGACCCTAAGTACGACAGAACGAAACACTGCCCAGTGCTGCACCATCCTCACAATTGTTATGCTTGAGCCCATTTTTGCAGCCACTGTGTCAGTCCTTCTCGCTGAGGGTCTTCCTCTCTTTTGCTGACCCTCTACTTTACCAAGCATGATGTCCTTCTCCAGGGACTGATGCCTGCTGATAACATGTCCAAAGTTTGTGAGATGTATTCTTGCCATCCTTGCTTCTAAGGAACATTCTGGCTGTGTTTCTTCCAAGACAACTTTGTTTGTTCTTCTGGCAGTCCGTGGTATATTCAATATTCTTCACCAACACCATAATAAAGGCATCAATTTTTCAGTCTTCCTTATTTATTGTCCAGCTTTCCCATGCATATGAGGCGATTGAAAACACCATGGCTTGGGTCAGGCGCACCTTAGTCTTCAAGGTAGTATCTTTGCTTTTTAACAATTTAAAGAGGTCTTTTTGCAGCAGATTTGCACAATGCAGTGTGTCATTTCATTTCTTGACTGCTGCTTCCACTATTGTTGACTGTGAATCCAAGTAAAATGAAATCCTTGACAACTTCAGTCTTTTCTCTATCATGATGTTGCTTTTTGGTCCAGTTGTGAGGATTTTTGTTTTCTTCACATTGAGGTGTAATCCATACTGAAGGCTGTGCCCCTTGATCTTCATCAGTAAGTGCTTCAAGTCCTCTTCGCTTTCAGCAAGCAAGGTTGTGTCACCGGCATATCGTAGGTTGTTAATGAGTCTTCCTCGATCCTGCTGCCCCATTTTTCTTCATATAGTCCAGCTTCTTGGGTTATTTGCTCAGCATACAGACTGAATAAGTGTGGTGAAAGGATACAACTCTGATGCAGGCCTTTTCTGACTTTTAACCACGCAGTATCCCCTTGTTCTGTTCAAACAACTGCCTCTTGATCAATGTACAGGTTCTTCATGAACACAATTAAGTGTTTTGGAATTCCCACTCTTTGCAATGTTATCTATAATTTGTTATGATCCACACAGTTGAATGCCTTTGCATAGTCAATAAAACACAGGTAAACATCTTTCTGGTATTCTCTGCTTTCAGCCAGGATCTATCTGACATGAGCAATGATATCCCTGGTTCCACAACCTCTTCTGAATACGGCTTGCATTTCTGGCAGTTCCCTGTTGATGTACTGCTGCAGCCGTTTTGAATGATCTTCAGTAAAATTGTATTTGCGTGTGATATTAATGATGTTGCTTGATAATTTCTGTGTTTGGTAGGGTCACCTTTCTTTGGAATATGCATATTTAGGAGGCTAGAAGACCGAATTCAGGCCACCAGATCTAGCAGAAGGCTCACTCCCTGTCAGCTCTGGGAGAAGGTCCTTGTCTCTTTTCAGCTTCTGTTCCCTGGCTTCTTGGTGATCATCGTGTGGCATAGCATCTATATTCCCCCATCTCTGCTTGCTTACTTGCTTAATCTGTTCTTTCATATCTCAGAGAGATTAATTTATGACACACCCTACACTAATTGTGTCTCATTAACATAACAAAGAAAACCATTCCCAAATGGGATTATAACTACAGGTATAGGAGTTAGGATTTACAACACATATTTTTATACATTAACCATGGGCCACCAAGTCATCAGGCACCTGCAGTGCCCATCATAAACTGGATGTTGTCTCACCCACAGAGCCAGAAAGTTGAATGTGCACAGCAGCACTCCATCATTAAATGGAAGTGGTATATATGAGACTGGGCCCGAGCAGGACCTGAAGGCAAAAGTAAAGTTGTATGAGGAAGTGGCCCAAATGCCCGTGGTCTCCACTTCTGTTACATTACCATCCATCTCCCAGTCTGCACCTATGCCTCATGGGAAGTTCCTTATGATCAGTTGACTGAATAGTGAAAACTCGTGCCTGGTTTACAGATGGTTCTGCGCGATATGCAGGCATCACTACAAGGTGCACAATGGCAGCACTATATCCCCTTGGGATTCAGTAATGAATAACAATAATACTTCTGCCCTCATGGTGCTTATAGGGTATACACAAAATGAATATCGTGTAAATAAATATTCAGAGATGATATTGTAAAACTGTATACTGTTATTTGCTAGAGACATTCAAGGAATTCTCTGATAAAGTAATGTATGGGTTTTTTCAGGATTTGGAAATTTGGGAGTAGAAATCAACCGTGGGTTTGAATTTTAAGCTAACTCCCAAAATATTCATTAGTATTTTCTAAGCATAGTGGGTAGTGTATGTTTCAATTGGAGAGAAAAACAACCTGGGAATACCCTGAGATTGGAAGGGGCATGCGGAGTTCAATATTTGTAAACATAAAACCTGTAAGTGAATTATCTAAATACTACTTAAATACAATATGTTTAAATAACATGGATATTATGAAGGAGGCCTGGTGGCACAGTGTTAAAGCCCTCACCTGCTAAGGGAAAGGTTGGCAGCCTGAACCCACTAGCCACTCTATGGTAGAAAGATGTGGCAGTCTGCTTTCATAAAGATCACAGCCTTGGAAACTCTGTGGAGCAGTTCTACTCTGTCCTACAGGGTCATTCTTCTGGGTCAGTCAGAATCAACTCAAATGGCAATGGATCATACGTTTCTGGAAGGAGCCCTTGTGGCACAATGGTTAAGGGCTAGGGTGCTAACCGAAAGGTTGGCAGTTTGTACCCACCAGCTGCTCCATGGAAGAAAGATGTGGCAGTCTGCTTTCATAAAGATCACAGCCTTGGAAACTCTGTGGAGCCGTTCTACTCTGTCCTACAGGGTGGCTATGAGTCAGAATCGACTCAATGATAATCGGTTATGTGTGGGATATTATGAATGATAAATCATCCTGAAATAAATGCAATTTCTTGCCTCTAATAAACTCAACAGCAACACTATTTCTCATAGAAAGAGTTGCTTATTTTCATGGGCAGTCTATTATCATCTAGTCAATGGAGAATCTACACATTTTCTTTAAGGCTTTTAATTTGATGTGTTATTTTTATTTTATGGTCTCAAGGTTTTACCTAAGCACTGAGTGTCACACCTAGATGGCCCCTTGAATGAGTATTAACTAAAAATTTAGAATTTTTTAATGGCTTCCACAACAAAATATCAGCTTTAATATGTGTCCTATTCAAGAGCCCAAGAATTATGCTTTGTATACCAACTGCATTTTTTTTTCAAAACTTCACATATTTTGAGAATATTCTTTTTGTTTATAACTGTGTAGTGGTCTGTATGGGGACCTGATCCTTCCCAGGCCCTTCATTTTACATGGTAGTTATAGTGAGAAATGTATAGCACCTTTCATACCAAAACCCAAATGATTTAAATATATGTAACTCAGCAAATCAGTGTCACAAAATAATTATTGCAGAGAGGAGATATGATCTTTGGTAACTGAATTCATGATTGAATACATCAAAATATCTGTTATGATTCCATAGCTTCATCTGATTAAACACATTAAGTAGATGAAAAATACTGCAGAAAAGAAAGCAGGTTCATTCACTCCTTTGATCTGTACACTCTCAACTAGTCAGGAATGTTTCAAAATAGGAATGAGCACACACTCACAGTGCTCTTAATATCCTTCCTTTTCTATCCTCAATCTTTGCATGCTTTCTCTTTACGTTGTCTTTTTTTTTTCAGTTTTCAAAAAAAAATTTTTTTAAAATGTGGAGTTACAGTATTTTTACTGTAACTATGTCGGTAAATACATAGGTAACAAAGCATTTGCCATTTGTACAAACTTCACATGTACAGTTCAGTGACATTCATTTTGTTTATTATGTTGTTCAACCATTACCATTAACCATTCCTGAGTTTTAAACTTTCCTTTTAGTGAGTGTATCAGCAAAAAGGAGCACTGGTGGCAAAACCGTTAAGCCTTTGGCTGCTGACTCAAAGGTTGGCGGTTGGAACTCACCCAGCGGCTCTGCAGGAGAAAGACCTGGCCATCTGCTTCCATAAAGATTACAGCTGAGAAAACCCTGTGGAGCAGTTCTACTGTCACATGGGGCCGCTATGCGTAAAAAATGACTTGACAGCATCTAACAACAATGTGTGAGCCTTGGTGGCTGCAGTGTTTAAGTGCTGACTGCTAACTGAAAGGTCGGCGGTTAGAAGCCACCATCCCTCTGCAGGATAGAGATGTGGCAGTCTGCTTCCGTAAAGATTACAGTTTTGGAAACCCTATGGGGCAGTTCTACACACACAGACGCACGCACGCACGCACGCACGAACGAACGCCAGCGCCTTGAGTCAGAATGAACTCTAGGACAATGGTTTGGCTTTGTTCCCTCCCCACTCCACAAAGGGACTATACTCCCTATATGAGAAGGCCCGAGGGGCTTCCCCAACCCCTAGCGCCTTAGCCTCCACTCGCACCAGGCCAGGTGCAGAACCAGCAGCGGGCGACGGAATCCCCGCTTCCCCTCCGGAAGTCCAGTCATTCCCCTGAGTCACCGAGGCCGAGTCACCTCCTGAGTCACCAGAGGCCGTCTCCACTCTTCACCAGAGGGTAGGTCCCGATCCCGCGGGACGCGCAACGTCTGGCGACAGCAGGAGCCCCGGCCTCCTCCGACGGTCGGCAGTGGGGTCTAACATTTTTGGAAGGCGCTTCCGTCACCCCCGCCCTGCGAGGCCCGGTCTACACCCAGGTCAGCGTCCACAATTGCCCGATAAGACCTTGCCGGTCCCCCCTGGCGGAAGCGGCGGGGGGAGGTCCCCTGCGGTCCCTTTAATTAAGGAGAAGCAGAGCCCCTTCCCACCGTTGGACGGGGGAGACGCCATTTCCCAACGCCCCTGCGGGGTCGCAGGCCGGTTGCCGCGCCCTGTAACATTGTGAGAACTACAATGCTCAGAGGGCTGTGCGCTGACAGGCAGCAGCGCTTAGCCAATGAAAGCCCAGAATAGGGCCATTTCCGTGCATGCGCAACGGTATGGGGTGGGATTTAAGGCGTCTTCCTCGTGGTAGTCATTTTAAGTCTTCTCTGGACGCCCCGAGAGATCAGAAGCTCCAGGACGTCGTTGCCGAAGGGACGGGGCCTGGCAGGCGCGAGCGGAGGCCGTTGTCCCCACGGCAACGAAGCTAGTCCGAGTCTGGGCGGCGGTTCCAGGCTGCGGCGAGTTCGCCGCCGGGGCCGGTTCCGGACGGCGCTCCGGGTGTCCCCGCCAAGATGGCGTGGCTGCTTTGAGGGACGCGGCTCAGGTAAATTCGGTCTCCTTCTGACCGTCACCCGCCCTTAATTAAACCCCCTTCCGAATGTCAAACTCGCGAGTGAGCAGTGCCTGCTCAGGTCACCGCGGCCTAGGTCCCTTTGTCCAGGACTCAGGCGCGCGTGGGTGGAGGTTCCTGTTTCTGAATACCCAGTGTGGTGAGGTGTGGAAGCGTCGGTGGAGATCCCTGCGGAAAAATGTTACAGGCTGAGGGACCACAGTTTCCAAAGACTTGGAGATGCGACCGAGCCAGGAACATCCGGGAAACACGCATTCTCGTGTCCGTAGGGAACGGTGTGGGGAGCCACGCCTGGAATTGCAGGCTGAGGGGTTGTACCTTCCTTTTCAGGGCGCTGGAAGCCTTGGAGGGTTGTGAACAGAGGAGGGACACTGTCTGAGATGAGTAAAATGTAGTTAAGCGATAGATGTTTGAGAGAAACGATTTAAAAGAATAAAACGGTAAAGAAGACAGGGTATTTGACGCTTCAGGGTGATTGCGGCCCAGCGAATGAGGGAGGGGGCTTATCAAGAAGTGAGCTGAAGTTTTGTTGTTAGGTGCTGTCAGTCGGTTCCGAGGTGGGATCCGTTAGGCTGATAGCAAGACTCCTAACTACCAAACTCTTCTCTGCAGTGGTTTGGGGCAGCAGGTGGTAGGCTGTATGCAGTGGTTCCTAGGAAGGTAGATCTGGAAATAGATTGTTGAGTTCAGGCAAGCAGTTATATGGAGTGGTTCCAGTTTTTGGTAAACAACGTAGTGAGGTGTGGAAGGTAGTCTCAATTATCAGCATGTCCAAATGCTTAGAGGTGAGGCTGAGCCGAGGATATTCACGGAACTACAGATCATCTGTGTTTCTGTTGGGGACAGACAGCAGACAGCAGGGGAGTAGGAGTCAGGCCTGAGAAGATGGGCATCTGTTCTGGAGCTGGTGGGAGCGACTGGGAGATTTGGAGAAGATGAGGGAGGTCATCTGACTCAGGATGTAACAGACACTCTGCAGGGTGGAGAAAAGACTGTAGGGGAGAGGAAGCAGGGAGGACTGGAGCCCGCATTTGGTTGTGTCTGGAAGCACACTCTCAGGGACTCTAAGATAATTTCCTGGCAGGAGGGTGTGTACTCTGCATGCCAGGCCTAGAGCTTAGATAGCGTCTCTTTGCCCACATCTGTTGACCAGCCTGGAGCGCTGGTGTTGCAGTAGTTAAGAATTACGGCTGCTAACCAAAAGGTCGGGAGTTTGAATCCACCAGCTGCTCCTTGGAAACATTATGGGACAGTTCTCCTCTGTCCTCTATGGTCGCTGTGAGTTGATAGTGTCTTGTTGGCAGTGGGTTTGGTTTTTTGCCTTTTTTATCGACCAACTGGTTGGTGCTGGAGGCTGACAAGGTGATTATCAGGACAATGAGGAGAGAGTAGATGTGAGTCCCACCAGAACCTGGTATCTGCTCTGAGGTGGGGGTGGGGGAGGACGGTGATCAGGGGATGGATGAGAGTGTGTCTTAGTTTCCTAGTGCTGCTGTAATAGAAATCCTACAGGTGGGTGGCTTTAAAGAACAGAAATTTATCTTCTCACAGTTCAGGAGGCTAGAAGTCCGAGTTCAAGGGGTGGTTCTAGAAGGTGGTCTTTGTCTCAGTTTCTAGTAGCCAGCAATCCTTGGAGTTTCTGGGCTTGTAGATACATCTGACTCCCTTGCCCTCTGATACCATCTGTCTTCCTCCTGTGTTTGTACTTCTTTGTGTCCGTGCTGCTCATTGTATAACTCAGAAGTGATTAGGTTTAGCATTCACGCTACACTTGTAGAATCTTACCACATTGCTTGATTACATCACGTTAGATTACATTATGAAAGGTGATTGCATTATATTAGATTAGATTAGATCCAGAGAAATAGGGGCTAGGATTCCAACACATATTTTAGGGAGACACAATTCAATCCATCATAGGGACATGAACTTGGGATCTCACAAGGGAAGCTAATCATGGAATAAACTGTTGTCCCCATCCTGGCAGGGCTGTGTGACCTTTGAGGACCTGGCCATTGACTTCCCAGGAGGAGTGGGGGCTCCTAGATGAGGTGCAGAGGCTGCTGTTCTGCTGTGTGATGCTGGAGAACTTTGCGATCGTAGCATCATTGGGTAAGATCTTCACACCCACAGTGTCTTGAGCAGGCCTTTCTCTTTTCCTCAGAGGCAACTCTGTTGTCCCACAGCTAAACCACGGGCACTGCAGCTTTCCCCACTTCCCTAGCGTATGTGCTGTGGGCACCAGGGCTGAGCTGTGTACAGTGCCCCAGCAATGCATTCCAGAGCAGCCCTACCACCTGCTGCCCTGAATCCTTGCAGAGAAGGATTTGGGAGTCAGGAGTCCTGCTGTCAGTCTGGCTTACTTGCCCTTTTCGGGCAAGGCGACTGTGTCCAGACAAAAGTATCTCTCTGCCCCAGTACTACCCCCCTCTAGTTGAAGGCCTTCAGTGGTGCAAATGGTTAAGCTCTCAACTGCTAGCCAAAAGGTTGGCAATTTGAACCCACCCAGCGCGCCTCAGAAGACAGGCCTGGCAGTCTGCTTCCTTAAAGATTACAGCCAAGAAAACCCTATAGGGCAGTTCTACTCTCTCATATGGGGTCGCCATGAGTCCGCAGCTAACCACATGTAGTTGACATCTTCTCCTGCTTACCTGTGCCAGGAGTTGCAGGCATGGACAATGGACTCCACTTACGTGGACGGAGGACTCTTCTTGCAATACCCTCTGTTGAGGTTTTTTTTCTTTTTTTGGTACTATTTTCTTTCTGGTGGTTTGTTGTGCTTTGGGTCAGTGCTGGCCACTCCTTTGTCAAGTCTTTCCTTTAGGACTTGTATCATGCTGGTCACATGTAGTTGCTCAGCTCCTGTGGAGGGGGAGCCCTATTTGCTTACAGATGGACATGGCTGCAGCCATGCCAAGTTGGTGTCAGTGGAGTACTGGCCCTGCTGAGTGGCAACTAGGGGAGGGCATGACGTTAAGAACTGTGTTCAAATCATACCAGGAATCCGTCCTTGTCCACTAGTGTTTTGGTGCAAATGTCACTGGGCATACCGCATTTCTACCTTTTGTCCCTATTTTTTTTTCCAGATTTCAAAGATTTTTTTTTTTTTTTTTCTGTGAAAATAAACACACCAAAACATTTGCTAACAAAACACACCAAAACATTTGCTAACACAACTTCCTGAATTACAATTCATTGACATTGATTACATTTTTCATACTGTGCCACCATTATTGGTATCCTTTCCCAAAATATTCCACCTCCATTAACATAAACTCAATGCCCCCAAACAAAATCTCCCCCTTTCCGTCCCGCTCCTACCCTTGGTAACCACTAATAATTTTTAGTTTCTATGTATTTGCTTATTTCATGTAAGTGAGACCATACACTCTTTTTTTAATTGTGGTTAAATATACATAGATATACATATGTAGGCTGTCCCTAGATTATAAACGAGATCCAGTCCTGTCTGTCTTCAAGTCAAATTTGTAGGTAAGTCAGAACAGGTACATAGGTTCTTATTTAGTGTCAGTCAAATGTTTGTATGAGTATATAGTATATATTTTACCTTTTTATGCATATAAAACACTAAACACTTCTAAATCACCCAGTGTTTTCATGAGCGTAGTGTATGCGTTCATTATTATGAACCATCGTATTTAACTCAAATTTTTAACGTAATAGACTTTATGGCAATTCATTCTTAAGTATGAATAGTCTGTTTAAGTTGGACATTTGTAACCAAGGGACTGCCTCTATAACATAAGATTTGCCACTTTATTTTTTAATTATACAATTCAGTGACAGCAATTACATTCACAATGTTGCACTAGTTTCACTGCTATTTCCAAAAATTTTCATCACCCCGAACAGAGACTGTACTCATAATGCAGTAAATTCCCATTCTCTCTAGCCCCTAATATCCTTTAATCTATCTTCTGTCTCTGAATTTATGTTCTAGGTATTTCATGTAAGTGGGATCATATAATATGTGTCTTTTCGTGTCTGACTTAGCATGTTGTTTTTAAGATTCATCCATGTTGTGGCATATATCAGAACTTCGTTCTTTTTCTAGGTGCATAATATTCCATTGTATGTATAGACCACACTTTATCAATTCATCTGTTGATGGACACTTGGGTTATTTCCACCTTTGGTCCATTATGAATAACTTTGCTGTGAACTTTAGTGTACAAGTACCTGTTTGAGTCTCTGCCTTCAAGTCTTCTGGGTATGTATCTAGAAGTTCTGGATCACAGAGTAATTTTGTGTTTAACTTTTTTAGAGACCCCCAAACTGTTTTCCAAATGACTGTGCCATTTTACATTCACACCAGCAATGCACAAGCGTTCGTATTTCTCCACATCCTGCCCAACAATTGTTATTTTACATTTCCTTGGTAATAACCAAAAAGGTCAGCAATTCGAATCTACCAGGCACTCCTTGGAAACTCTGTGGGGCAGTTCTACTCTGTCCTGTAGGGTCGCTATGAGTCAGAATTGACTTGATGGCAACAGGTTTGGTTTTTGGGTTATGTTTTGATAATAGCCATCCCTTTGTTGTTAGTTGTTGAGTCCGTCCCGATTCATGGTGACCCCATGTGTGCAGAATAGAACTGCTCCATAGGATTTTCAAGGCTGTGACCTTTCAGAAGCAGATCACCAGGCCTGTCTTCAAGGCATCTCTGGGTGAGTTCATACTGCCAGTCTTTTGGCTAGTGCTCGAACACTTAACGGCACCATCCAAGGAAATATAGCCATCCTAGTGAGTATGAAGTGATATCTCATTGTCGTTTGATTTTCATTTTCCTAATAATTAATAACTTTTTTTGCTTTTTGTCTAATTTTATATTTTTAGAGAAATGTATCTTCGAGTCTTTTGTTCATATTTTTGATTGGGTTGTTTGTCTTTTTGTTGAATTGTAAGAATTCTTTATATCCTCTGGATACTCAACTCATGTAAGATATATGATTTTCAAATATTTCTCCCATTTATTTGCTCCTTAATAGTGTCTCTCGATGCACAAAAGTTTTAAATTTTTATGAAGTCCAATTTGTCTATTTTTTCTTTTGCCTCTCATGCTTTTGGTGTCCTATCTAAGAATACTTTGCCAAATACTGTGTTCTGAAGATTTATCCCTATGTTTTCTAAGAGTTTTATAATTTTATCTCTTATTTTTAGGTCATTTTGAGTTAATTTTCATATACGGTATGAAGCAAGGGTCCAGCTTCATTCTTCTGCGTGTGGAAATCCAGTTGTCCCAGCAGTATTTGTATTTTTTCCCATTGAATGAACTTGGCACTTTTGTGGAAAAACAATTGGCCATAGATGTATAGGTTTATTTCTGGACCCTCAATTTTATTCCATTGTCTGTCCTTATGGCATAGGTCTGTCCTTATGCCAGTGCCACACTGTTTTCATTACGGTAGCTTTGTAGGATCTTTTTCAAGAGTGTTTTGGCTCTTCAGGGTCCGTTGCAATTCCATATAACTTTTGAGTATCAGCTTTTCCATTTCTGCCCAAAAAAGCTGTTGCAGTTTTCACAGGATATGCATTAAATTGTAGATCATTTGGATACTGTTGACGTCTTAATAAGATTAAGTCTCCTAATCCATGAGCATGGGATATCTTTCCATTTACATAGTTCTTTAATTTGTGTCAGTACAAGTATTTTACCTTCTTGGTTAAATTTATTCCTAGGTATTTTATTCTTTTAGATGCTATTGTTAAATGGAATTGCTTTCTTAACTTCCTTTTCGGATTCTTCACTAGTGGTATATAGAAACAGAACTGATTTTTGTTTTGATTTTGTGCCCTGAGAATTTGCAAAATTCATTAGCTCTTCTAGATTTCTTACGGATTCTTTGGGATTTTATATATATTGGGTCATTTTATCTGAATAGAGATTGTTTTATTTCTTTCTTTCAAAGTTTCTTTTTACTGCCTAATTATTGGTTAAAACTTTAGAACCATATTGAATTGTTGTTGTTAGGTGCCACTGAGTTGTTTCTGACTCATAGCAACCTTATGTAGATCAGAAGGAAACACTACACAGTCCTGCGCCATCCTCACAATCCTTGTTATGCTTGAGCCCATTGTTGCAGCCACCATGTCAGTCCATCTCTTTGAAGGTCTTCCTCTTTTTCTCTCTCTTCTTTGCCAAGTATGATTTCCTTTTCCAGGGACTGATCCCTCCTGATAACATGTCCAAAGCCATCCTTGCTTCTAAGGAGCATTCTGGCTGTACTTCTTCTAAGACGGATTTGTTCACTCTTTTGGCAGTCCACAGTATATTTAATATTTTTCGCCAACACCATAATTCAAAGGCAACAATTCCTCTTTAGTCTTTATTCATTGTTCAGCTTTCACATGCATTTGAGGCGATTGAAAACACCATAGCTTGGATCAGGCACACCTTAGTCCTTAAAGTGACATCTTTGCTTTTGACCACTTTAAAGAGGTCTTTTACAGCAGATTTGCCCAATGTAATATGTCGTTTGATTTTTTGACTGCTGGTTGCATGGGCGTTGATTGTGGATCCAAGTGAAATGAAATCCTTGACAACTTTCAACCTTTCTCTGTTTATCGTAATGTTGTTTACTGGTGAAGTTGTCAGAACTTTTTTTTTTTTTTTATGTTGAGGTGTAATCCATACTGAAGGCTGTGGTCTTTGATCTTCTTCAGTAAGTGCTTTAAGTCCTCTTCACTTTCAGCAAGCAAGGTTGTATCATCAGCGTAACACAGGTTGTTAATGAATCTTCCTCCAATGCTGAGGCCCCCTTCTTCTTCTTATAGTTTAGCTTCTCAGATTATTTTCTCAGTGTACAGACTGAAAAGTGTGATGAAAGGATACAACCATGACACACACCTTTCATGATATTAAACCACTCAGTATCCCCTTGTTCTGTTTGAACGACTGCGTCTTGATCAATGTACAGGTTCCTCATATGCACAATTAAGTGTTCTGGAATTCCCATTCTTTGCAGTGTTATCCATAATTTTTATGATCCACACAGTTGAATGCCTTTGCATAGTCAGTAAAACCCAGGTAAACATCTTTCTGTTATTCTCTGCTTTTAGCCAGGATCCATCTGACATCAGCAGTGATATCG